TAAGTTCACAGAGGTGGAGGTAAGTCTATAACATACGATGGGCCATCTGCATCTCCCACTACATCCAGCACTTCCCATGGTCCTCGGTACGCAGGTAGCAATTTCTGAGAAATGCCTTCTTCTGGTACTAAATCTTTAGACTTGACCCAGACCGAGTCACAGATAACGAAATGAGACAGTCCGGTGCTTGTTTGCTTGCTCTACCATCTTCTGCTGGGCGTGTCCCATGTTTTTAGCATCCTTTTGAAGGTCTTTCTCGTATCTCAGTGCGAACTAGGAAGTTCGGGGTGGCAATTGTTGGATCTGGACCAGATTTAAACAGTCGATGGATACATGGTACACCTAAACCCTAAACATGGTACATAACCACATTCACACAGTACCATAGTACATACTCACAATCACAAAGCACCATAGTACATGCCCACATTCACACAGTACCACCTAAGCCCTAAACATGGTACATACCCGCATTCAAATAGTGCCACCTAAACCCTAAACAAAGTACGTACCCAAATTCACATAATACACAGCATAGCACAGACGCCACATTCATATACTAGACAGCACACAGCATAGTGCATAAACCACATTCATATACTACATGGCATACAACATCGCGTATATAGCCACATTCACATACCACATGCTGTATGTAAATAACTGAACAGAACATAGTATACACCCACATTCACAAATTCACATAATTGTAGTGACCTGACCAAATACGTACTGAGACACACAGCTGTTTTCTGAGTTTTGCGCATGGAATGAATGCCTTGCTGAGTTCTCTAAGTCTGTGTGTGTGCACGCTTGCTGGTCTGCATGTCTGTCTCAGTGCTTGTCGGCTTGAGTGTGTGTGTGACCCGCAAGGGCACTTGTTCATTCAGTGGGCCCAAAGGGCCGGTACTTACCTGTGGCCATGACATTGAGGATTGCAGCGGGGGAAAACACTCAAGTGGCGGGCAAAGAGGCCCGCGACACTTGAAGCAGTGGAAAACACTCAAGTAGCAGGTAGGCTGGTACCACACCAGGTAGAGGTAGATGTGCCGGGTACTCGAGGCAGAGCACCAGAAGACAAAAGTCGGCATTTTTAGAGGCCCAGTAGTTGTAGGCTAGGTCTAGCCGGGTACCAGTCCAACCTGTCTGAGTTTAGGGCCTGTACGGGCAATATCAGAGTCTGCAATGATATTTCCCTCTGAACGGGAGGAGGTACCAGTGGCTTGGAGACCGCGCGGCCTAGGAAGTCACTCGCCAAGAGGCAAGCAGGCCGCTATATCTCCAGGACCCAGTTGCTCCTCCTCATTGTCGGTGTGCAAGTTTGGCAACACACTGGTTGGAGCACTGGCTGGAGCAGCGTTGGCAGTCAGTTGCGCTGCTGGGGAAGGATCAAGGACATGGAGGAGGAAGAAGACCAGGACTAGGAAGGGGAGCGCCAGAGGTACTTACCTGCCTATGGTGGTTGCCATCTTCATCACCTTGGTGGGCACTGCAGGAGGAAGGCCCAGTTGGGGCAGAGCTACACCAAGGAGCTTCGAGGCAGAGTCAGGCATGGCGGCCTGAGCTAGAGCAGCCATAGCTGCTTTGTGTTGTCCTTTGGACAGCAGGGTGATGCCCTGGTAGTCCGCCATAGCCTCGGCCTATGAGGACGAGAGAGAGAGAGGTGCGCCCATGGCTATGGTGGACCTCAAGTGATGCATGCAGTAGAAGAGAGACTCGGACATTGATTCTGGATCAGCCATTCAACATTGCTATTATTATTCTTGTTTGGAATAGGAGGAGAGTGGTTGGCCAAGAAGACGAGCATTATCATTGGTCTATGGTGGTGTACATCATCTTCTTCTTCTTTCTTTCTTCTTCTTATTCTTCTTCTTACCCTCTCTCTCCTCTCAAGTTCATTCCTTTCTTTTTGCAATTGGAGTCATTATTGGACGGCATTGTACTTTCTGATGAATGTGTACTCCAAAATTGGCCAGGATCATAGCATAATGGCCTTCAGCCAGGGCATAGTTGTCAAGATCCTATGGAAGCTGCTCTGGCAAGCCTTGCCATTTGTACCAAAAATACGTGTTTGATGCCACACACACAATATAAACCACTACTACCCCAGGTACAGTTTTAACGAAGCGGCACTTTGTTTCGGAGTCTGGCCCACCGAACCAACATGATATGGGCCTATGGGTAGCAGCAGGGTTAAAGAAAAATTGTTCTGTTGCCACCAGCATTTATTTTTCCATGCAGATATTTTTAAATTTTAATTCAATTTTTATAAACGTTCTCTCCAAAAGACCAGCACTCAATATGTCCCTGATCTTTATTCAGATTTTTTTATCAAACATTTTGAGCACGGAAGATCACCAAAGATGGTGTACTCAACATTTTGTCAAAAGCGGCTAACCAGCCAAGGCCAGGCCTACCAGCCCACCCCGTGGCCAGCCGAAGGTGCAAAGTTCCGCATTTTTGAAGGCGTCAGGGGTAGTGGTGTGTATATAACAGCGTAATGTACATGTGCATCCACCTACAGCGGGCACCACAGTTGATTCAGGGCAAGTGATCTGATGAAATCTCTCTCTCAGCTTTCAGATGTCCCACCCAAACTCCATATTCACGACTCTTCACTGTTTGTGCAGCAAGTTTAAATAGCTAAAGACAGTAAAGAGCATATTATTGAGACGCAATTTACTTGGAGTAATAACATGCCTCTCACAATCTTCAAGCAACAACAACCTGCAAAACTACAAGTTTACCTGGTGAAGCTCTCTGGAAGTCTACCACAGGGGCGGGGGAGAGGGGGGAAAAGAAGAACCGGAAATAGAGCAAGGGTGAAGGAGTTAACAATTACGAGTATCATCAAATCACATTCTTTTTCATTTTTAAGCAGGAACAAAAACAGAGGGGAGTCTATGAAAAACAAACCTGCTGGATTGAATCGGACAGCAAGAACAAAACCCTGGCCAACACCATAGGAATGGATGCCCTTCCCAGCCACCACATCCCACTCCTTAACACAATGATCATAGCCACCTGACAAGAGAACTGCACCATCATCAGACCAGCACACGTCCGATACAATGAGCTGATGCTCTGCAAAACAAAGCTCCTGCCAACAAGAAGCAGCACACAACCAACACACCGCAGCACACAAAAAGGTGAGCAGCAGTGCAAGAAATCAAAATAAAAGAAAAAACAAAACGAAAAAGGAGGACCCTACAGCGGGAATCCACATAGATGACAACTCCAAATGGAGCTCAACCCCAAGAAATAGAACTCACTGGAAGTGAATTCTCGTCAAAAAGCCTAATTCGATTGACGTAATCCCGTTAAACCACCAGTACGTCCGGGGGCCTTTTCTCTGGGGCTGGAAATGCGCTGTGCTAAAAAAAAAAATTGTATCAGCACAGACTTCTTTTGGCTGGCTCCGCCAGCCATTTTGCTCCGGCAGCCGAGCCCCGAAAGTTGGGGCAGCATGCAAGCCGTGACTTTGGAAAAATGGCTCGGAACCGTAGTGGTAGTTAAGAAGTACTTCACCCGACCCAAGCATGCATTGCTGCACGACACTGTGTAAACCAGCCACCATCCCAGAGTACAACCCCACAAGTGGAAACTGGGCTTGTCTCATGCAGATAAAGGAGAATTATCACTGAACTAGACCCCAACTAATCAACCTTATGACCTTCTGCTGTGAAATCAGACGGTTAACGAAAAGCCTAGGTAGATGGGGTAATATGGAAGCCCCTAGAATAGTACTTCACCCCACCCAAGCATGGACTGCTTCGATGTGAAGGAATCAAGCTTCCAAACTTCCACTAGGGAAGCGACACATAACCAAAAGCCTATGCTGATTGCAATGCACATGAAGCACGTTAAGGCGTACTTCAGCCCTCATGTACCCAATCAGAGTAGCACATTCTATACATAGCCACCATACCCGGAGTACAACCACACTCATAGAAACTGCACTCGTCTCATGTAGATACATGAGAAATGTCACCAAGCTCAACCCGAAGGAACCGAACTTCCAACCATCTGCTACAAAAAACGCTTGACAAAAACCTTAGGGGGATTTGTGTGAAAGTGAAGCCCTGTCTTCTCTGGACGAATCCAGGTTTTCCAGGCTGGGTAATTGATGCAGCGAGTCGGTACCATAGGGAGTCTCCCGGCTCCAGTGGCCCAGCCTGGTTCTCTCGAACTGACCAATAAGGAGAGAGGGCATCAAAACGGACAGACCGTCTAGGGGTCAGAGTTCTCCCCTCGCTACCTGCTACTTTCGATTAAGTTCTACTTTCTCTCATGCTTGCCAGTGATGTGCAACTGGACTGGTGCCCCACAGAGCAGGAGGGCCTGTGCTGTTGCAGAGAAAACAAAAAAGAGGACAATTAAGAGGAAACCTAGGTGGTTTGGTGTGAAACCGCAGCCCATTGAGGAATATTCATCCCACCCCAGCGGAGGTTGAACTCTGTGAAAGTTTGCAGCTATCTACATGAGACACACACAGTGTCCAACAGTCGTTCGCACTTCAGAACGTTGGTTGCACCAATGATGTGCTATTCTAACTCGGTAGCCAAGGTCGTGGAGCAATCCATGCTAGCTTGGGGTTTAGCACTCTTAAGAGGGTGCACTTTCACGCCAATCTGCCAAGGCTTTTGGTTAAGTCTCCACTTCTTAGCAGATAGCGGAAAGTTGGTGATTGAGCTCTCTAAGAGCTCTCATCGATCTGCATGACACAATTGCAGTTTCTACCTGTGCATTTTGTACCCCGGGAAGGTGATCAGATCAATGGCATGTCAGCAGACTGGGTGCAGTAGGTCGTCAATAATCTAATCATAGATAATTTGACTTATTTTAGTATTTTTGTAAAAAATTATATTGTTTGGTACTGCCAGCACCATTTTTATGCGTGTCAATTATGCAAGGAATACGAGTGAGAGCGATAGACTGAAAACAAAGTTGCAAAATCACGAAGTAGTCCAGACAGTCATGTACCAAGCAGAGAGCACAATGCACCAAGATACCATCCAAACAAGAGCAATACAATGAACTCTAGTATCAATGTCGACACTCTCTGGTCACACTGTATCCAATGTCGCCCCTACTGTCTGGCGCCCAGCGCCCAGCCTACACTACTCAGTCTATCTATCCTATCTAAGTTCATGCGACTGGATCACATCGAAGTCGACCGCCAGCATACACAGCTACGTTCTCTCTCCTTCCCTCATCACCCCTTGATTCAGTCTGCATGTGCCTCCTACCCGAAGACCACCATCGCCATCACCTGCACCCGCACGCTCGGCCCGGCTATGGCTGCCGTGCGCCCACTGCCACCACAGTGCCCTCTCACCTCTTGCGCCCGCATGCGCCCTCGCCTGGCCGCATAGCGCAGCTTCGCATGGCGTAGCAGCATCGCGGCTGCATTGCCTGCTCAGGCCAGAATGCCGCTGCCTGGGCAGGCCACTTTCCTTTATGGAAAGTGCGGCCGTGTATCTGCCTGCGTGAGCCTGGCTGGGGAGGCTTCCAGTAGCTTCCAGTCGGGCCCCAGTGTCTGTGCCCAGGCCCACTTCTGCTGTTACGGGCCTGGGCCCCTTACAGTTGGGCACGTCCAGGCAGCCATCTAGGCTCCAAATGTTTGCCGCATTCTCATTGGCTCGTCGAGGTTGTGTGACGACAATGCTACTTTCTCATTGGTCCGCGGCCTCTGTGTGATGTGTCGGCCTCTCTCTGTGTGTGTGTCCAGGGCGCAACTAACCGCAGCCCTGGGCTCAACTGTGCAGTTCAGCTGTTGCTTCTGGATAGAGCCAGGAAAGGCTCACGTTGCTTTATAACCAACTGGCGTGCTGCAACTGTCTGATACCCCACATATGGAAAAATGTCGATAAGAGCCTCACGTGGATATTCAGGCCCACCTTTACTTAGGGCGGGCACAAGGCTTGCTGGGGGCCACACCCCAGAACACTTGTATATCTGATAAGTCCCTGCGAGGGCTCATTCCTCGCAACCATTTCAAACAAAAAACTTTTGAATACTTTTATGGTGTTCATTCTACTATCTACTTGTAGTATGCTTTTCATGATTTCATCGTACGATTTGACTGTCGAACCTAGCATAGCCACTCAGAATAGTGCGTCATTGACCTAGGCACCATTCCAGACTACAATCCCGCTGTCTGCAACTTCATTATCTCATGCAAATAGATAAGAACTGTCATAGAGCTCGAAGCCAAGGAATGGAACTTCTGAACGTCCGCTATGATATCTAACACATGATAAAAAGCTTAGGGGGATTGGCGCTGAAGTGGACCTGTTAAACCGCCAATGCACCACCCCAGCCTTGCAAGATTTCATTTTTTCCCTTCTTTTTTTCTTTAAAAAAAAAAAAAAAAAACACGGGGCCTTAAGATCCTGGCTCTATATCCATTCTGGGGAGCGTCAGTCCAGTTCCTATTCCCCCGGCAACTTCGGCGGCAAGTCAATAAATGCAGATGCATCATATACACTCGCACGCATCCTTCCATTTGCCTGAAGGATCCCTGACCAGCATTGATTGCTCCCTTCACGGCCTAATCCTGAAATTTTGGAAGCTCAGGGCTACAGGACCACAACAGATGGTGGCGCCAGCCAAAAACGAAAGAAGTGCGCCGTTGGCGGTTCGGCAAAGCTTGGAGGGCAGTGATACATGCCCAGTTGGGCAATGTATGTACAGCCAAGGAAAGGACTGAATGGACAATGCAGTGTTAGTGGAATCTCAACAAGCAGTGTACATCCTCATACATACAAAATGGCACTTTGTAGCGCAGTGGAAGACTTGGATATAAGTCCTGACCTGACCGGGACCGACAGGATATCCCATCATACTTCACACATGTGAGAGGAGGAGGAGATACCAAACTGTTGCATACCATAATGGTGCAAACCAGAACAAGGACAGACCTCCCTCATCTAGTACAAGATAGTACAGCGGAATGCTAGGATGCCAATGATCAACCCAATCAATGTTGCAGTGCAGACCAAACATACATCATCATCATTACAATTTGTGAAGGGGCCTGGCGCTCACACAGGAAGAATGTGCCAGCCCCAAACATCCACAGACGAAGAGGAGGGGGATTAGCCGAAGACGAGGGAGAAGATGGGAATGTCGTCACACAAGTGTCCCTGGTATCGATCCCAAATAGTCCCTCGTCAATGTCTCTATCCCGAAGTCGAGTCTGTATCCCAAGGTCGTCAACATCCCCAAAGTCACCAATCTCTCTCTCGCTCGTAGTCTGCTGAGGCCGAGAAGTCAGATAGTGAGAGGGTGAGGAAGAGATGGTGGACTGAGAGGAGGAGGAAGAAGAACTCTCTCTCTCTCTCTCTCTCTCTCTCTCTCTCTCTCTCTCTCT